ACTGTGATTCCGTGTGGTCTATTGTTAGATATGCAAAAGAGTCAGAGAGAAAATCAATATGTGTGCGGAAGTCGTGTTTGACCCTAACCCACATTCTTAAATTCAAATAACACTAATCACTTATGTCGAGTACATTAACATTTGGGTGCAAGCTCTAGGGAAATCTCATTGATATTACTATGTATTTACATTCTGCTTCAATACTGTAAGATCTTTCTTATTTATGTTAAAGACTTGCATTAATATTTGCACTCCTGATATTTAGGAAGTTTTAATTATTGTTATTTGAAGATTAGAAATTGATCGTGAAAGAAAAAGTGAAGAAATAAAATCATTTTATACCGTGCTTGATTATTTTCTAAAAAATAGTAGAAATATACCAGTGTCTCTACTTTGGACAGAAAATATAGTCAGAATTAATATAGAAACTAATAAATTAGAAAATAAAATTAGAATAATAAACGATTGTTTTGATAAAAAATACATAAATAAATATGAGCATAATTGACTTTTCCATTTATTATTAGAAATAAATCAAAATTATCATATATTAGGAATATAAAATCTTGATTTAATTAAGAGAACAAAGGAAGGATATTTAAGTCATTTTATTGATAAACAGTGCTGCCCACGTAACCCTGTTTTTTCATTATGAACATAACCATTCTGGATGAATAGCACTGCTCATTAGATAAGTTGGTAAAAATATTGACCTAATGTCAAGTAATATTCGATCATTTAATTGTTTAAAAAATAGTTACCTTCCACATCCAATCATCCGCTGTCATCTACACTTCGTCGTTGTGTATATCAAAATCCTTCTGACAAAGTGGTAAAATTTATTTTTTTCTCAAACTTATTTTCATTAGATTCTCCCAATATTTTCCTACTTTTTAATCACATATTTTTCAAAAATTACTATTTTAAAACTTATTTTCTAAAAATGATTAATAGTTGTCAAAGAGGGTTACATGGGCTTAATATTATTCCCAATTCTTCTTTTATTAATTTATTTATTCTACCACGAATAAGGGGAAGAATAAATTTTAAAAGTCCACATCATCATAAGAAATGACACGTGACAAAGTTGATTGTTTTGCTTAGC